TTCGAGAAGTGAAAAAGCCGTCTGCAGATCTACCCAGCCTATAGATATATCCGACTCCGACTCTGGACGCCGATTTCATCCTTACCATCGGTCTTGCGCTGAATTACCAGCAGCCCACGGTGATTCCCCGTTGGCCTCCTTTTTTGCAGCCCCTCTTGTCAGCGTGCCTAGTCCTTGCGGTATTTTTCAGGCCGGTACCCTCGTTGAAGGGCTTGACGACGAGCCCCTTTCCGAAGCCCCCGAAATACCAGGGGTCCTGGGGTCTGCGGCGCCAGAAAAAGCCTCACTAGGGGCTGGCCCTGCTTTTGGCATGGGTGTCCTCCAGACTGAGACCAGTCCATCATATGCTGCTGCCGCCGATCCTGGGTGAGTAATTCCCTGCACCCTTACCGATTTACCGCCTTTTTTCTTAGCCTTAATTTCGCTGTCATCTTGTAGCTCCTTTGCCGGGGCCAATGGAAGGGTTTGATTGACTACGTCTATCTGCTCAGTCAATCCCCTGGCCTCCAGGGTAATCAATGCTGGCAGGTTCAGCTTACAGACTTTCTGAGATGTGTTTTCTATTTCAATCGCAAGGGACGCTGGACCCGCTTTCCAGCAGGTGATGCTCCCCACCAATAGATGGAGCCTCTCCCCAGGTGCTAGCGGTGTCTGCTCTTACCAGCATTGCTAGCACAAAAAAAAAAAAAAAAAAAGGTCCTGAACCAATCCGTGCAGGACAAGAATAAGGACAAGATTCTATATTCTTGTCCGGAACAGATTGGAAAAGATTTTACATATCCAGGTTGCTGAGCAAAAAGCATGCTTCTCCTCTGTGTGTTTTTCATTCTTAGCTATCATAATTATTATTTTATTTAGAAAAAGACAGGCCACTCCCTTTGAGGGTTTGCAGGAGTAATAAAAACAAGAGAAAACTAGGGCGTGGTCATGGTTTGAGTATCTGAATGCATTTCAAACTGCAGTTTTTAATTCCAGTCCCATGGGGAGTTTGCTATGCAGTCTAAACTCTGCTTTGCAAAAAATCGCAGAGCGGAGTTTGGAACTGCAATTCAGTCAGGCAGGTGGC